GCATTTTCCCATGTCATTGTGTTGTTTGAATAGAAATAAGACCAGGACTCTACACTAGTCCACATGCACAGCACTAAGGATAGAGAACAGAGATACGCATTAGATGCATATGTGGCAGAAAGGATGCATTTGAAGAATTTCTCTTTGGTTGTAAAACTTGCAACAGTTACACTGATGTTTCTGCTTGCATCAAAATTCCATACCTAAGCAAATGAAGGTGAAATTCATCCATGAAGCAGAGCTCTTATATCCCCAGCTCTTAAGTAGTCCAAAGCAGGAATCCTATGAAAATAAAATCACAAAACAAGTTAAAATAAATTTACAGCGTGCTATCATCATTAAATATAAGATAAAAGTGAAATAATGTTCTCTGAAAAGATTGATATTTAAATTACTAACCCTTCTACTCACCATGTTAACTAATATGCCTGATAGCCTGCAGAAGATTGTTGATCCTTCCGCCTCAGTATATTTAAGGATAAAATGATTCTGAGTGTGATCCACTGGACTGCCTCCTCTTATATTTGACTCCATCCTCCTACAGGAAGCCTGGAGTGGAATTTCCCGCAATATTTCCCAACGCTGAATTCCACAGAAGGCTTCAGGATCATTTCCCATAAGAAAGAAAAAAGACAAAAAGGAAACTTCTATTGTCTGTCATCATCAAAAAAAGCATTAAATGATAATAATTTAAACAAATTCAAATAAATTCAGTCAATAGAAGTATTGATAACTTTATATGCTGCAACACTGGCTGCCAGCTGTGTTCACACATCATCTGGTGCTACGGAATCAGAATCTGAAATATCAGTTTATAAAACTGTTGGTTTCCTGTTGTCTTATGTTGAAACAGAGGATGATGATTTTCAGTGCGCTTGCCAAAACAGTTTGGATCTGGGTCAGCTCCACCGAGAGGAAACCTTTAGACCCACAGGGATGGAAACAGTGAGTAGAGCATTGATCTTGATGTGGAAACGGTTTGCATGATTAAAAAACGGGGAAAATATATTCATTAGAGAAAAAGGTCAGGTCTTTGGCTCAGGTTTATAAAAATATTTGTAATCCCTTTCAGGTTAAACAAAGACACCGAAGTTTGTCATGAACAAGCGAGGGACATATTAGTAATAATCTAATTATAAATGGGTGGATATTATGAGGTACTGGGGAGCAGA